GCCATCTCAAAAATGTAATCTACCTATTAATAATGTTACATTTTAAAATATATTATAATATAGGCTTAAGGGTAGTTTTTTCTATATTCTTTTTTAATAAAAAAAATTGAAGGCGTGTGTTWACTGTCCCCTAATATTATACAAAAGATTTGAAGTACCTAGAGAATCAACGATTTTTTTTTAATATTCAATCTTGCATTCATATATTTTAGCGTTGAAAACATCTGATTGTGGGACTTGAATTTCTTTTACGTCTTAATGGTCGTCTCTATAATGGGAGTCCATTAAAGCTGGAACAAAGGGTATAGAAATATATTCTGAAATAGAAAAACGTTTGTTTGGTGTTTATATATTTTGATGTTTTTGATAAAGAGGTTGTTAGTCAATGGTAGGTAGTACTCGAGTTACTCCAATTTACTCACAAATATTTGTCTCTCAAAATRTTTTAAATGATAAAAATATAATTAAATAGAAATGGAATACTACAGCGTAATGGTACAAAATCTATGATTAAACTTTCCATAGTATGATATATCCATTTAAAATCACCAAGTAGYACGTATATCATAAGCCAGGGATTTACATGCTCTCAAATACTAACGAATATTATAGCATATCATTAAATTATAAGCACTGTACCGTATAACACATACAAATATAGACGATTTGCAAAATAAATAACTTTTTCACAATGATTGTAATTTTAAATTTGTATTTTACGATTAAATAGTCAAAAATAATTAGTTATTGTCATACTCTTTAAAATGTGTAAAACATTCTAATTTCTTATGAATAATTGTGAATGTGAATTTTTTTGCCATCAACTATATTTAACTTATATCATTATAATATGTAAATTTAATTATGTTATTATCTTACTCTATTATTATGTAAGCAGTTTTTCAATAATATTATTATTAAAATATTATGTAAAATCAACTATATTTTAACAACATCTTTTTTGTTAGAAAAATCGATAAATTTGTGATTGCARATGTATTTTATTCTGCAGGTGTTATAACAACTGTCTAGTACCTTCTCATGCATTTTTTCACATTCTGTTGTATTAGATTATTTCTCTATTCATCTAGTTATTATTTGCATAGGTAGTGTTAAATTTACATTAACTATAAATTAAGAACTAATATATTACTTTTTTTTTATTTATTTGATTCAATTTGTTTACAATAAAAAACAATCAGTAACATAGAAAATATACAAACGTGAATAACGTGAAGAGGAGACCGTACATAACAGAACCTCAGAAATGTTCCCCCCCCCCATAATACGGGACACAACTGAATATTATAAATGCATTCAAAATTACGGTGGTCGTGCTATTTTGAAAAACAATACAGATGCAGTATTATCGAAAAATCACAATCATCCAACACATGGAGWTGAGTTAGCTAATCGTAGTTTAAGAAATAAACTGAAAGTAAGTTATATTTATATTTATGAAAATATTGAGTAAAAAAAAAAATGCATATTTTATAATAATTTATATATTTATAAATAATAAGTGCATAAGTGCATGCGTATTTAGTACTTTTTAAGTGCATTAAGTTTCGAGCCCTAATAATAAAATGCTGGTTTTTTTTAAATATAATTAATATAGGGTGAACTTTCGGAAAATCCAACGAAACCAGCACCTAGAGCATTTWAAGAAATAAGGAGATCTGTAATAACTTCAGWAATACAAGGTGCTACAAATTCTAAAATTGTTGATGCTATTCCAGTATTGACTATCATGAAAATGATTCCCTCTTTACCATCGACATTTTGCGATTTAACGATTGAAGGTGACTGGCGTTCTACTTTTTCATTTTAGGCAATCTATATGGTGTCAAGTACAAAAAGTTGGATTAGTGCACTCAATTATTCACGCTGAAGCACCAGTTAATGAAAGTAATT